CACTCCCCTTCCGTATGTGAACTGGGTGTTGCCCCATAGTTTCTCCAGTGACGGTGGGTCGGTTCGCCCGGCTTCGGTTCGCCCGGCTTTGCCCGGCAATCCCCTTCCGTATGTGAACTGGGTGTTGCCCCATAGTTTCTCCAGTGACGGTGGGTCGGTTCGCCCGGCTTCGGTTCGCTCGGCTTCGCCAGGCGATTTTCGTATGCGAATTGGGTGTTGCTCCATAGTTTCTCCAGTGACGGTGGGTCGGTTCGCCCGGCTTCGTTTCGCTCGGCTTCGCCTGGCGATTTTCTTATGCGAATTGAGTGTTGCGATATAGTTTTTCTAGAGACGGTCAGTCCGTTCGCCCGGCTTCGGTTCGCCCAGCTTTGCCCGGCAATCCCCTTCGGTATGCGAATTGGGTATTGCCCCATAGTTTCTCCAGTGACGGTGGGTCGGTTCGCCCGGCTTCGGTTCGCCCGGCTTTGCCCGGCAATCCCCTTCCGTATGCGAACTGGGTGTTGCCCCATAGTTTCTCCAGTGACGGTGGGTCGGCTCGCCCGGTCTTCGGTTCGCCGGCTTCGCGTGGCGATTTCGTATGCGAATTGGGTTAATGCCGTTTGCCCCATTAGTTTCTCCACTGCCGGTGATTCGGTTCGCCCGGCTTCGGTTCGCCCGGCTTCTGCCCTCGGCAATCCCCTTCCGTATGCGAACTGGTGTTTTCCCTCATATTTCTCCAGTGACGGTGATTCGGTTCGCCCGGCCTTCGGTTCGCCGGCTTTGCCCGGCAAATCCCCTTCCTGTATCTGCGAACTGGGTTATTCCCTCATAGTTCCTCCAGTGACGGTGATTCGGCTTCGGCCGGCTTCGGTTCGCCCGGCTTTACCCGGCAATCCCCTCCAGTATGTGAACTGGTGGTTTGCCCCATAGTTCTCCAGTGACGGCGGGTCCGGTTCGCCCGGCCTTCCGGTTCGCTTCGGCTATTCGCCAGGCGATTTTCGTATTGCGAATGTGGTGTGCTCCATAGTATTCGTCCAGTGACGGTGGGTCGGTTCGCCGGCTTTCGGTTTCGCTCGCTTGCCAGGCGATTTTCGTATGCGATTGGGTGTTGCCTCCATAGTTTCTCCAGTGAACGGTGGATCGGTTCGCCCGGCTTCGCTTTCGCTCGGCTTCGCCTGGCAGATTTGCTTTATTGCGATTCGAGTGTGCGATATAGTTTTTCTAGAGACGGTCACAGTCCGTTCGCCCGGCTTCGGTTCGCCCAGCTTTCCCGGGCAATCCTTACGGTATGCGAATTGCGGTACTGCCCATAGTTTCTCCAGTGACGCGTGGCCGTCGCGTTTCGCCCGGCTTCGGTTTCGCTCGGCTTCGCCAGGCGGATTTTTCGTATGCGAATTTGGTGTTGCTCCATAGTTTCTCCATTGACGGTGGATCGGTTCTCGCCCCGGCTTCGTTTTCGCATGACTTCGCTGGCGGATTTTCTTATGCCGAATGCGGCGTTGCTCCATAGTTTTTCTTAGAGGACGCGTCAGTCGCGTTCGCCCGCGCTATCGGGTTATCGCTCGCCGCTGTCGCCAGGCGATTTCGGTATGCGAATTGCGGTGTTTGCTCCATAAGTTTCTCCAGTGACGGAGGCATCGGTTCGCCCGGACTTCGTTTCCTCCTCGGCTTCGCCTGGCGATATTTCTTATGCGAATTTGGGCGTTGCTCCATAGTTTTTCTAGAGACGGTCAGTCCGTTTCGCCCGGCTTCGGTTCGCCAGCTTTGCCGGCAATCCCCTTTCGGGTATGCCGAATCTGGGTACATGCCCATGTTTCTCCAGTGTACGGTGGGTCGGTTGCCCGGCTTGTCGGTTCGGCCCGATCTGCCCGAATCCCCTTCGTATGCAGAACTTTTGTTTTCCATAGTTTCTCCACGTTGTAGGTGCGATCGGTTCGCCCCGGCTTCGGTTTTTCGCTCGGCTCGCTGGCGATTTTTCGTATGCGAATTGGGTGTGCTCCATAGTTTCTCCATAGTTGTTCTAAAGTCGTGCTCAGTCGGTTCGCCCCGGCTTCGGTTCGCCCGTTTGCCCGGCAATCCCCTTCCGTACGGCGAAACTGGCGTGTTTGCCCCCTAGTTTCTCCAGTGACGGTGGTCGGCTCGCCCGGCTTCGGTTCCCCGGCTTCGCGTGGCGATTTCGGTATGCGAATGGGTTGTTGCCCCCATAGCTTTCTCCACTGGCACGGTGATCGGTCTTCGCCCGCTTCGGTTCGCCGGCTTTGCCCGCAATCCCCTTCCGTATGCGAACTGGATTTCCCTCCATAGTTTCTCCAGCTGACGGTGATTCGGTTCGCCCGGCTTCGCGTTCTCGCCCGGCTTTGCGCGGCAATCCCCTTCCGTATGCGAACTGGGTTCGCTTTTCCCTCATAGTTCCTCCAGCTGACGGTGATTCGGTTCGCCCAGGCTTCGGGTTTCGCCCGGCTTTTACCCGGCAATCCCCTTCCGATGTGGCACTGGGTGTTGCCCCATAGTTTCTTCCAGTGACGGCGGGTCGGTTCGCCCCGGCTTCGTTCGCTCGGCTTCGCCCAGGCGATTTTCGTATTGCGAATGGGTGTTTGCTCCATAGCTTTCTCCCAGCTGACGGTGGGTCGGTTCGCCCGGCTTCGGTTCGCTCGGCTTCGCCAGGCGATTTTCGTATTTGCGAATGGCTATGTGATATGCTCGCATAGTTCTCCAGTGACCGGTGGATCGGTTCGCCGGCCTTCGTTTTCGCTCGGCTTCGCCTGGCGATTTTCTTATGCGAATTGAGTTCTTCGATATAGTTTTTCTAGAGACGGTCAGTCCGTATCGCCGCGCTCGGTTCGCCAGCTTTGCCGGCAATCCCTTCCTTTGGTATGGCGAATGGGTACTGCCCATAGTTATCTCCAGTGTACGGTGGGTCCGGTTCGCCCGGCTTCGGTATCGCTCGGTCTTCCGCCAGGCGATTTTCGTATGCGAATTGGCGTTGTTGCTCCATAGTTTCTTCCAGCTGACCGGTGATCGGTGCGCCCGGCTTCGTTTCGCCCCCTCGGCTTCGCCTGGCGCATTTTCTTATGCGATGTGGGCGTTGCTCCTATAGTTTTTCTAGAGACGCGTCAGTCGGTTCGCGCCGTGCTTCGGTTCGCTCCGGCTTCCCCAGGCATTTCGTTATGCGAATTGGGTGTTGCCTCCATTTAGTTTCTCAGTGACGCGTGATCGTTCGCCCGGCCTTCGTTGTCGCTCGGCTTGCCCTGGCGATTTTCTTATGCGAATTGGGCGCTTGCTCCATTAGTTTTTCTAGAGACGCGTCAGTCGTTCGCTCCGGCTTCGGTTCGCCCAGCTTTGCCGGCAATCCCTTCGGTCATGCGAATTGGGTAATTGCCCAGTAGTTCTCAGTGACGGTGGGTCGGTTCGCGGCTTCGCGTTTTCGCCCGGCTTTCGCCCGCAATCCCCTTCGTATGCGAACTATTTTTTTTCCCATAGTTTCTCAGTGACGTGGATCGGTTCGCCCGGACTTCGGTTCGCTCGGCTTCGCCTGGCGATTCGTATGCGAACTTGGGTGTTGCTCCATAGTTTTCTCCATAGTTATTCTTAAAGTCGGCGTCAGTCGCCCGTTCGCCGGCTTCGGTTCGCCGGCTTTGCCCGGCTAATCCCCTTCCGTATTGCGAAACTGGGTGGTTGCCCCATAGTTTCTCCATGTGACGGTGGGTCGGCTCGCCGGCTTCGCGTTCCCCGGTTCGCGTGCGTATGCGAATTGGGTGTTGCCCCATAGTTTCTCCAGTGACGGTGGGTCGGTTCGCCCGGCTTCGCGTGGCGATTTCGTGTGCGAATTGGGTGTTGCCCCATAGTTTCTCCAGTGACGGTGGGTCGGTTCGCCCGGCTTCGGTTCGCTCGGCTTCGCCAGGCGATTTTCGTATGCGAATTGGGTGTTGCTCCATAGTTTCTCCAGTGACGGTGGGTCGGTTCGCCCGGCTTTGCCCGGCAATCCCCTTCCGTATGTGGATTGGGTGTTGCTCCATAGTTTCTCCAGTGACGGTGGGTCGGTTCGCCCGGCTTCGGTTCGCTCGGCTTCGCCAGGCGATTTTCGTATGCGAATTGGGTGTTGCTCCATAGTTTCTCCAGTGACGGTGGGTCGGTTCGCCCGGCTTCGTTTCGCTCGGCTTCGCCTGGCGATTTTCTTATGCGAATTGAGTGTTGCGATATAGTTTTTCTAGAGACGGTCAGTCCGTTCGCCCGGCTTCGGTTCGCCCAGCTTTGCCCGGCAATCCCCTTCCGTATGCGAACTGGGTGTTGCCCCATAGGTTCACCAGTGACGGTGGGTCGGTTCGCCCGGCTTCGTTTCGCTCGGCTTCGCCTGGCGATTTTCTTATGCGAATTGAGTGTTGCCCCACAGTTTCTCCAGTGACGGTGGGTCGGTTCGCTCGGCTTCGCTTCGCCCGGCTCGCCTGGCGATTTTCGTATGCGAATTGGGTTTTGCCCCATAGTTTCTCCAGTGACGGTGGGTCGGTTTGAATGGGAAAGTGTATTACTTGCTGAGAGTAATCAATTTACGGAATAAATCTAAGGTTAACCCGTTTTTTATGCTATTATTTCGCTACCTTCAGAACCGCACGAACTTCTTTGGTTGTCTGGTAGAACAATGTTGAGACATTACAGGATTCCCGTACACAATGCGATGGAACCCTCAGCAAAGGGACCGGACAGTGCACAGAACAAGGCAGGAGCAAAAGCCACTGCGGTTAAACTCGCTGATCCGCCACCATTCCAGACAAATACTACGCAAGTACAGCCACAAACGTCACCTGCACCAGAACTACCTCGTCCTGGCTTGTTTCTAAGAGCAGCCGAACCAGTCGCAGCGCCTTCAGTTTCCCCACTGCAGCAGGCGGATTTGAACAAGTCACCAGGGGGATTGGACCGAAAGACGCCAAGAAGAAAGGTGTCCTCGAAGAGCAACTCCATCCACTCCACATAATAATTGTGCTTCATCAGTTGGCTCTACTCTTCTCACTTTACGCAAATCATAGAATTATTAATACTCAGAGTACTTCATGAACAGAAACGTAGCAAGTGAACAACAAATATCTGACAATAAACTTATTAACTTTTTGATCCGCGTCACAATGAATTAAAACGACAAATAAAAAAAGTTCGATCCAATGGGAGCGGGCCCGATAAATTTAGCTCAGATCGCTAAGCTCACCTTGTGGAGACCAGTAAGATCATGTGAGCAAAGTGCTTCACTCGCCCCATTTCGCAGCTTCACAAGAAATTGCTTGTCATGTATCATGAGCTGACAGAAACAGGCGATAGTGCAAAATACCCCCTCCAAGCCGAACAGCGCAACATATGTATAGATCTGGGCGCAAACCCTTTTTCGACGTCCTCGTCCTTCTTGCATTTGTAGAGTATCCTCTTGCAGACCATTTCCCTCTCGCGAAAGTTTCATGAGCTTTACTGCTTCGCGACGCATTGAAGACTGAACAAAGAGCACACGTTGCAGGAAAAACAAAGGCAACTGAAAACTCAAAGGCACACCTATCTGCGGGACCGGAACGGACGGCTGTATGCCGCTGAACCAGCATCTTGATTCTTGCCATGCGAAGATCAAATCATTGGGTGTGTTCAATAGGCCTGATCTTTGGGCTGAATGATTGAATAGCCAGTATCCGCACTCCTGCAAGGCTGCCATAGCATGTGAACCGAAACTACACAAATACCGAAACTGTACGTAAGAAAAGAAAAGAGCTCATGCCGAATTTTCCAGGGGCATTTTGGCTTGGTGACACTGATTTGAACAGCTTTGTGTTATACGAGTTTCTCATTTACTACTTTCTTATTTTTTCATCTACCCATTTAGTTGAAGTAATTCTGTCTGGAAGTATTATGTCTAACATCCTGCACCATTTCCAGAGGATACAGCATCATTAAAAGAGTCCATCAAAAGGAGGGACTTATTGGTTTCTCAGGACAGGTGTCATATTTGGTCGATGCTGGTCGTGTCTGGTCTCGACAGGAACTTTCTCCGGCAGCGATAGAACCCTCTTGACTGCTGTGTTCTCGCGGTTTCCTCTATCATTTCTGCTATAACAACCCCATTTCGTGTGGCACCGTTGCAAAAGTGCTATACGAGGTCGTGTGACATCGCCATTTTTCACATCCCGATGCTGTATCCGTCACATATAACGTAACGTCGTATGGGTCCCTCGGGAGACCAAAACTTCTCCCATCGGAGAACCATCGTGCATTTCCTACTACTCCCCTGAAAGAGGCAGGGCACGCCCGTGTGGTGGTTTACAAACTCCTCCTATACGATGACTGCAGCACAAGCCTTCGAAGTTTGAACAATCCCAGATTGTTCTAAACACAACAGCAGTTCCACAGCCTTTTTTGCATAGTTCATCTTGCCGTTGATTCATAAATATCTCTTATTGAACATAGATCTTTGATATGGATAAGAACAAAAAAAAACACGCATAAGTGGGGAAGAAACATTCGCAGGGATCGGAGCGAAGGTGCACCCTATACAAGGGTGCGCCTTATATTTCCGAAAGAAGGGTGTATATAATAGGGAAAAGGAACCCGGCGTTAAATATTGGGATGGATCCGTTTTTTTTTGCAGTTGACGGCTTCTCTGGAAAGTCACTGTTTTAATAAAACAGACATGGAAACGCGAAGGAATTATTTTTTGAAACCGCGCGATAAAGGGAGGAGTTGGGCAGAAGCAGAGGCAGGCTGCCGTAAATCTTCGTTTATGAACCGTTTACCACGATTTCGATAACTCGATCGCGCTGAATAACTAGGACAAATCTCTTGCCAAATACATTGCTTTCCAATTGCTCTAAGGAAAAACAACGGTGATTCATGATACACGTATAAGGTATGAGTTAGTTTATCGGTAGCGAATCCTGAGAGAACGAACACAATAAATGAATTCGACGAGGAATTGAGGAGGCAAGGATGACACGTAGGAACATATGCGGTGGAAATATTAAAATCTAGTATACACTTATGAATCTGGCAACATGGGCTTTAAGGAATACAAGTGCAGTACAAGCTGTGGTAAAAAGATGGACCATAATTAGCTTAGTTTGGGGTCACATTCTTGAAATATGTGGAGGGCAACCTATGTTGGCGCTTTTCATTCGTCCACGACACACCATACATCCACCAGAGCGCTTCGTCAGACAGACAGTGTGGTATGCGTGCCCTAAAACAAGCACTATATATAGCATCAAATGAATAAACGCAAACGTACAATGGAACATAGCAAACAACAGACGACAGTTGAAATTATTTCATTATGACTGCTCTTTAACGGTGCAGTTCGCGCTCCCAAAGTTGTAAGAAGAATGGTGAGTTACGAGAGTGCGCTATCGGTTATGCCACGGACCGCTCTTGCCATCTTAGTTTGACGGATCTCATGCCCTAGCCTTAGAACAGTCCCTGCTTCTAAGATACATTGTACACTCAACTACAAGGCGCGTTCTCGAGGCTTACGAGCCGTCAGCTGACGAAGCGTAGCAGTTTCCCCATCCGAACATGCGCAGGAACGGGGATCCAGGACCGTGGGACCAGGGCACGCCATCGTTGTGATCATCACAACGGGGGGGGGGGGAGGGATCGCATTTGCCCCCGATGAAGGGGGGGGGAGGTCGTAAAAGCTAATAGAAGTCTGAAAGGAACCCCAGAAAAGAGTGATTCATTCAGTGAGCGGCTTAACAACAGTTCAAACACTGTCGCCTAAACCTACACCTGGAAAAAATGCCGGACTCTAAAACGCGATTTCCTGATGCTGATAGCATTTTAGGTGCTGCAAAACAAAAGCCGAAGATGATGACGAGGGCCAGAACTCAAGAGCAACTGTGCTGCTTCTGCAATATCCCTCCAAATCCGCGCATACCCACATAACATGACAATGCAAACGGCCTAAGCGTCCCACATTAGTTTAACACAAGCAAAACGCAGTTTCCTGATGCGAATAACATTTGAGGTGTTGCTTATGCTTCAGAGTCCGAGTAGAGGGTGATGAAGATGACAAAGGCTAGAAATGAAGAACAACGAATGCAGATGTAAATAAAACAAAAATGGAATAGTTAAGGAAACACAAATCAATAAATCGCGTGTAATTCCTTCAGTTCGGCGCGATTCCGGCTCCAAAGCCATAGAAATACTTTAAACTTGGGGTGGGACGACGACGACGACTAAAACCAGATTCAGGTGCTGCAAACAAAAGCCGAAGATGATGACGAGGGCCAGATAAGAGATGAAGATGAACAAGAGAGATGATGTAAATCATCATAATCGTAGCCAATGCATGCTAGTTGTTCGCGGTCAGCCGCACGCGAGGAGTGCAACACCCACGCTAATACAAGCGGATTGGTGCGCGCTATTTTACGACCTGGAGCCGATTTCAAGCCAAACACTCGAAAAGTACCCCTCTTTTGAACACCCATAACTTCGTTGAAAGTAAAGTTCTCGGAGAGTGGAAAGCAGGAATGAGTGGTGCTAGGTTGGCTCTTGTTCACTGAGTTTGAGCGATATCAAAAACATTTCTTTTCTAGGAATTTTTCTCCGTTGTGATCCTCTTGTGATCATGGGGGGGGCTAACCACGAGTCGCTACGCTTTGGACATCCATGACAAGCTTCATACAAAGCCTTTCGTAAAAAAAACCCTCGCCGGAAGCATGAAGCTTTCTACTTCCCAGAGAAACTTTGATGTTCTCCCTAGGCCTGCTATTCGAAAAAATCCCCCGTTGTGATCATATCGTGATCACTCCCCCACGACACGAAAAAATCAACCCCTTCGAGGCTATGAAACCTCCAGTTGACTTGAACACTTTGATATGCTTCTAAAATGCATGTTTTCGTCAAGTATATCAGGTAACAGTTCACTGGGCTCTCATTGGCACCACTGCAATGCGCCATGCATAGGGCTCTCAGGCAGAGGTGTTGGAAGGTGCAACTTCTAGATAAGGCTTCCTATGCGCAAGCGCATGTGTTCCTCCGATCAGAAAGGTCTGAAAATGTACTTTCATTTGTTTATTGATCGTCACGTCGTGTTCTTTGGTTTATTTATAGATACAATGGAGCTCTCACCAAACGGTGAGGCGGTCCCTACAACCACGCTGGTGAGCGTTCCAGTGACTGCGTGTCGATGGAGAGGCGAAAAATTTTAGGTGATCATCACCATTGCCTCTCCGTCTCTGATGCTGACTCTGCGCTCTAACACACGTCGCCGCACCATCTACTCACTCTTCCGCTCTGGACCCCCGCCGATCGACAATTGCTGACGCTCTCGATCAGCTGATTCTTTCCGCATTTTAGCACTATTTTTGCTACATTCAGCTTGTATCACATTTTGCATGAATTTAGCATGAAATTCCCCTAGAAAACTTGTATTTCCTTCTGATTTTCACAATTATAATAATTTAATGATATAATTCCAGTAAGAATACTCACCTTCAAAAACTGAGGTCAAAAGTCCCGAAAAATTTCAGCTTCAACGGCTGAATGCAGCAAAAAATACTGCGAAAATGCGGCAGAAATCAGCTGATGGAGAGCAATTATCGATCGGCGAGTCCAGAACGGAAGAGTAAGTAGATTGTGCGGCGGCGTGGGTTAGAGCGCAGAGTCAGTACCAGAGAGGCAGAGGCAAGGGTTTTACGGCTTTTCACCAACAGGCAATCATCGGGCCGCTTGCCAGCGTAGTCCTAGGACCGCCCCACCGTCCGCTGGGAACTGCACTGTATGGTGCCCTTGTGAGCGGTCACCGTAGCTCCTACCATCGCCCCTTCCTCGTAAGTATTGTCTGCATGCTCCACCAGCGCCAGAGTGCTGGACGTGCTTGGGACGTACGCAGGTACTGCGGCCTCCCCCCCCCCTCCCCCCGCTCAACAGCAAAATTTTGTAAAAAAACCCAGAGATTTTTCGGGAAAAAATGGGCAAAGTGGTAGGAGGTTGGGAGAATCTAGGAAAGTGGAAGGTAGCACGGGGAGGGGGTCGTACTTTTCAGGAAATGATCACAACGCAATGGCGTACCCTGCGTGGGACACGCCAGTCTCTCCATACCGCCTAAAATGCAACTTGAGGTACAGACTCCCGATCCCTTTTATACAGGCAGCAGTCCGCACGGCGCGTGTCGCGCTCAGCTCTCCTCGCACTTTGTTGAGCCGTGTAATTGCACTTTGCAATTCAATCAAAACGCAAACTCCTGATTGTGAATAATATTCGAGGTACTGCTCATGCTGCGAAGTCCTTAGTGAAGATGATGCGAGGACACTCAAGAGCAACTGTGCTGCTCTGCAATCTCCTTCGGAGGCCGCGCACTCCCACAAAACATGAAAATAAAAATGGCCTAAACGTCCCACTCGTTAGTCAAAACATTTTTATGACATTGTAGCCGGAATGGCGCCGCATTGCCAAATTCGCACGGGATTCCAATTAATTTACATTTCCTTGATTTTTTTATTTACATCTACGTTAGTTGTTTTTCAGTTCTAGCCTTCGTCATCTTCATCATCTCCGATCCAGACTTTGCAGCATGAGCAATACCTCGAATTTTTTCTGCATCAGAGGTAGTCTTTGCCATCTCATCTCCGATCCAAACTTTGCAGCATGAGCAATACCTCGAATTTTTTCTGCATCAGAGATTGCGTTCTAATTGTATTCCGAAGCGCAATTACACGACTT